GACAGGAAGCCAGAATATTATTAATAATAAATCTTTTGGCGATGACATTTTTGAGGATGCAGATGTTGACCATGTGGAGGATGATGTTGATAAGCCACGAACTCGACAGCTTTTGGATGATCGATTTGATACCCTCTTAAGTCGGGACTATGCATCTAGTGACAACGGTGACAGTGCTTGTGATGAGCATGATGGTTGGGTAGCTGAAGAAGATGAGTCCCTTGCTCAAAAGCTCAAGCATGCCCTTGATGATCATAGTAAGGATGACTTGGACCTTGACCAAGGATATAAAGCTTCTGCAGATCAAGAGCTTTTGCAGTCTACCAGTGATGTAATTCACCGGTGTATGGAGTATGCTGAGTCTGCACAAGTTGAGATGAATTATTACTCTTTCTCATTAGAATTGAATCGCTGCGATGTGGAACTTATTAAGAAGGAAATCATTGAACATGATGTGTCAGTGTCTTATTCAGGTGGTGGCGTGCCTAAGAAATCCATACGCAAGCCTAACTGGAAGAAATTCTTCGTAGATTATTTTGTTCGAGAGAACGTGTTAACGCAGGATGTTGATTTGCAGGAAATACATACTAATGAGCAAGTTGTAGACATATTTACTAAGACACTTGCCAAAGTGAAGTTTGAAGTTTTTCGTAGAAGCTCTCGGAGTTATTGAGAAATAAGCTTGCACTAAGGGAGGCTGTCACAATTTAGTGCAACTTATTTTAGTTTGAATTAGTTATGGAATATATGATATTCGTAATCTTCCAGAATATATTAGTTAGGAAATATATTTTAGATATCGTAATCAGTTGAATTTGAATAGCAGTATATTTTATTTTATTATCATGATTTAGTTAGTTTATATTTTCTTGGTAGATATTATTTAGTATCTTGTATCCTATTTAAAGGTCGTGAATATCAATGAAGATAGAACATTCGATCCCAATTCTTTTCCTCATTCTTAAATCTGTATTCTTTCGTTGAGTATAATATTTTCATATCTATGCACACTTTTGAGTGGTAGATATTGCGTCATTACAAAAGCTGCTGCTCCTCGTTAGCATTACCGCAGGCTGATGGGGCCTTTTATTTTTACTCTTCCAAACACTTGAAATAATGTAGGAATATGGAATCAACTAAATTGTCTTAACCACAATCTAGTAGAAACTAAAACAGAGATAATTAAGATACAAGGAAGTATCGGGAATTAGAATCCTAGCATACAAGCAAGTTGCAGTCCAAATTTTGTGGAGGAGGAAGAAGAAGAAAAATAAACCTGGAAACGATTGAGTGGTGCAATTCACGAGTGAGGAAGAGGAGGAACCAATGAGTGAAAGAAGTCAAATTAGGAAAGGAAGAAGTGGAAAACAGAAAAGTTGGAGGGCGATTGGGAAAATAGGTACAAAAGGGACAGACATTTCAACCACGAATAAGATTGAAGGACGAGAAGGTCCAATTTCAATGAGCAGCCTTATAAAGTAGTAGAATAAGTAAAATAATTAAAACAAATAATTATGGATGGATTCATTTAGTTAAGTGAGGATAAGAGGTGTGTTGTGATTTGAAAACCAAAAGAATTAGGTGTTAGTTGCGATTAATTCACAAATTGACTTTGATGGTGCCCTCGTACAAACATAACGAACAAATTTAGTTGGATAGGTTTGGAAAACTATTCCAAATCATCTTGTGGGTTCCTTCTTCTCATTGTCATTATTAAAAATATGGAATTGACGTTATTCATCGCCACTTATAATATCTATAAATATAATATTATCGGTAATAAATGATGTAGAAAAAGAGGAAATAGATTAATATTCTTATAATATATTGAACTCGCAATGACACGTGTGCCATTGGAATCCCATACAACACGCTCACTAATGGAAACAAGAAAAAGAGATAGTAAAAGCAGGAAACCACCCATGCTCTTATTCATTCTGGTACTGCTATGGGAATTAAACTTCGGCTACGCTAACATCACCATCGCCCTCAGTTCACCCTGCAACCAATGTCAAATGAAACCAATATGAGACATTAATTCCTTACATAAAAACCAGGACAAACGTAGAAGCATAGGATGTACTTACTTGCTGCAGTCGGTGCTGGGGCTGATCTTATAAGGAATGCTGACGCCACACTTGCTTGGAAGGCTAGACGCGGCGTTAAAGTTGATCCCAGAGATGCTATTCGCAGCAGACTTCAAGCACGTGCAAGCGGTGCGTCGATCGACAGAGGTGGAGGCTTGGCTGTTCAAGGACCGTATGCCATTGCAACATGCTGCTGGAACACCAGAGGATGGATTTTTCAAATATGAGATGCACGGAGACACTGAGCGAGCCACTGTCCCGCATGAAATAGCCGCTTCACCCACTACCATGCACATCAAAACAACACCCACAATAATCGCCATCTTCATGCTTCGCTCCATTTTCTCCTCTCCTCTTCTCTTCTCCTCTTCTCTTCTCGATGAAACTCACTTATGTTTTGGCTTATTTTGCTGTGTGGATCATCCCCTCTTGGGTGCCGCTGTTTATATAGCCAACTCCACTCCTACATGCAACCCATTTCAAACCCACAATTTATGAGGCAACCAGGAAGGTGGTTGGTGGTAGTTGGGTCTTCACTCGATGTGGACCCAACCCCTTCCATTATTACCTTTTATCACTCTCTTCCATCTTCCATACTTTTACCTTTCACCCTTAATGTGTTCCACCCTGCCGGTGCCTAATAATGCATACCTTTCTACTTCACCCTGCTGCCTACTGGGCTACACTCAACTCTCATTCAATTTTAATCAAATACCACGCCCATATGTTTCGTTTTATCTTTAACCCCTCCCTTGCAATTAGTCATAATTTACAATTGGAAAGAATATTCGAGAACGTCCTGGATTTAGTGAATTAAGTAGTAGCAGTGGGAAATCATTGATGAGGAGGTGGGCCTCAGACGTCCAATAAATGCATATGAATTGGACTAGAATGGCATGACCGACGGCCTAGAACGAAGCCCATGCTAGTCAAGACATGGCCGACCACGTGTCACCGTTTTGCGAAGGCCAATTAATGGGTGTCTTGTCTTTCTGCAAGAGAGAGAAAGAGGGTGAAGAGGGAAAATGTGGAACTGAACAAAATTTGGTACCTATATGTATGGGAGGGTTTTGATTCTTTTCCCAAGGTTCATTGGAACTTTAAATTCAGATACTTTTCAGGAAGACGAAAAGAGTGAATAAAATTGGTAACACAATTGGATATGGTGAAAAGTTGTTTCCCAAAAAAGAGGGGAAAGAAAAGTCAAATTTGTTATTTAACCAAAGGCTAGGCTTCGAGGTTGCTCCATCCAGTTAGGCCACGCAGTTGGGCCAAAAATAGCGACAATCAATTGGGCATTTAAACGAGTAGGTATGAGTATCATCCATCCCAACCAACGTACACACAAAGCCTTAATCCCACGCATCCACCTCAATACGCCATACCCTTCGCTCAAATACTTCTAAATATCACATTCTCATTCCCCTTCTACAAATTAAACACCACGCTTATCTCGACTAAAATAAATAAATATATTGTGAGAACAAAGATTCAAATAAATGTAGAAATGATGTCACTGAAAGCTTTTCCATCCGAACCGTTTGTTTTGGGCCGTTGGTAAGCGAGAAGAATCCATAGAGAAACCGTTGATCACACAAAAGCAGTGGGCTGAAAAATGTTTCCAAAAGGGCTGGTTGCTTAAATAATCAACACCGTTGTTTCTCTCGTAAAAGCCTTGGACTATTGAATTTTAACGTGGCTGGATCCAGCTTTCTTGCAAACTCCATACTCAATCATCTCGTTTCTCAGTCGCCCCACATCATCCCACCTCTCTTCTTCGGCGTAGATGTTTGACAATAGAACATAATCTCCATCCTTCCTTGCCTCCAACTCTCCCAGTTTGCAGAACGCTTCCTCGCCCAATTCTACATGTCTGTGTACTCTACAACCACCCAACAACGTTCTCCACACAACAGCGCATGAACTGAAAGGGCAACCTTTGATCATCTCGTATGCTTCCTGCAAAAAACCCCATCTGCTGAGAAGGTCAACCATGCAACCGTAGTGCTTTAAGTCCGGCATTATCTTGTATTTGTTAATCATCAGACTTAAAAAATGACGTCCTTCTGCAACCAGACCCTTGTGACTACAGGCAATCAGAATAGCCACGAAAGTCACCCGATTGGGTTTGTGATCATCATTCCCTACCTCCATGGAATCAAACATGTCCAAAGCTCTCTCACAGTAGCCATGAACTGCCAAACCCATAATCATCGCGTTCCAGCAACTTACAGGCTTCATCTCCATTTCGTTGAATACCTCCAAAGCTAAGCTCAGCTCCCCACATTTAGCGTACATATCAACTATGGCATTACCTAGATATCCTTCAATTCTGTAATGCTCCGCTTTCAAGGACTCGTGTATTTTCTTCCCCATCTCCAATGAACCCGTTTCAGCACAGGCGCCCAAAATAGATATAAACGTTACTTCAGTTGCTCTAATGCCCGACTGTTTCATGCTATGGAACACCTCCACAGCTCTCTTGTAATCTTTAACCTTCACATAACCGGCAATAATAGAATTCCAGGATACAACGTCCCTCTCAGGCATTTCTTCGAACACCTTTCGTGCTGCTACAAGATTATTCAACCCAATATAGCGTGCCAATACGGTATTCCAAGAAGTTACATTTGTCTGAGGCATCAATTGAAGAAGAGAATCCGCTGACTTATAGTCACGAACTCGATTGTAAGCCGACATCATAATGTTCCATGAAACAGCACTTCTCACAGTCATTTCTTCGAAAAGCATACGAGCAAAAACTACCAAGCCACACCCGGAGTACATTAGAAGCAATGAATTCTGGACGTGATGATCTTGATCGAGCCCCAATTTCAGGACGCGGCTATGAATTTCAGCGCCCTTGCGTGAAATGATATCGTGGCCAAAACATTGGTCGTCCTTTTCAGTGCATTTGATAGCTCTTGCACAAGCCTTGAGCACAAAATTGTAGGTGAAATGATCAGAATGAACATCCATACGTTGCATATGGTTGTAAATAAGCAAAGCTTTAAGGGGGAAAACGCTGTTGGAGTAGGCACGAATCATGGTGTTACAAATGAAAGAATCGTCCATGGAAATGTCTTGGAACAAAGCATGAGCATGAGGGAGACTTCCAGATGGAGAAAGGGATGAGAACGCAATTAGCTTCGTCATTACAGGAATGTGATTGCAGAGACCAGCTTTGACGATGAATGCGTGGGCCAGTTCCAGTTCTTTCATGGAGGAGAGACGGAGAAGCTTGGGAAGTATGTAAGAAAGGGCACCTTTCAGCACCATGTTCCATCTTCCTGACCAAAGGCAAATGCTTCAGCGTCTAACAAGTGGAAGCATCGAAAGGCAAATGCTTCAGCGACTAACAAGTGGAAGCGTCGAAAGGCAAATGCTTCAGGCTTCAGCGATTAACAAGTGGAAGCATCGGGCGGGCGGTTGCTTTTGTAATGGACCCTGAAGAGCTGAAGCAAATTTGAAGAGCCGAAGCAAATTTGAAGAGCCGAAGCAAATTTGAAGAGCCGCCGCATTGCATTCCATCCATTCATTCACCGAAAATGGGCCCTTTTTTCTTTCCTTTTTCTCACTTTCTCAATATTTTTAAACTATTACAATGTTCAAAGTTTTTTTAATAAAAATTATATTAAAATTGGAATTTCCTTTGAAATGAATATATTTTTTAAAAATAAAAAAGATTCTCTGCGAGAAACCTAATTTCCACAAAAAGAAATAAAAATATAACATCACCAGAGGCGGAGATGTAACATCTCTGATCAGCATCCATCTATAAAATGGATAACATCTCTGTTCTTAACTGTGGTTATGTATTGTGATATCATCAGTCTAAAAATTAATACTGGGTGTATAGATTTCAAAAGAAACGTCGTTTCCTTTTTTGGTGAGTAAATTTTGATTATGAGAGTGAAAAGCCACAGGTCTATGTACCCTCCTATGAAACCCAAATCAACTAAACTAAACAATTTTGGAAGTTCTCTCTTTCTCGTTTTATTATTTGGTCAATGGGTTCCCCCATTCACACCCTTCCTTCCTTCCTTCCTTTTCCACACCCTTCATCCTATTTCTTCTTTTTCTCCATGTGGAAAGAAAACAAGCCATTCAAAAAATAATTGCCCTTATTGCGAGTTCTTAGCCCTCTTAGCTGCAAACAGTTGGCGAAGGAATCCAAACTTTCCTCTTGCACGAGCCGAGAACTCGGTGATAGTACCATTGCTAGACGTTGGTGTCTCCGTTGTGTCAGATTTTGGTGAAGACGGTGAAGACGGCGAAGAAGGAGGTGGGAGTGTAAATAGATATGCATTAAGCATGCGGATGATCTGGCTGAAGCTGGGCCTCATCTTAGAATCTTCCACCCAACACGACTGTACGATAAATGCTAGATCTGGAGGTATGTCGCCTGGAATACTCGGTCTCTCTTGCTGCATTCTCAGACCACAGTATCCAATGGTCACATATTTTGGAAGAAAAGGAACAAAATGGAAAGAAATGCATCGAAATAAACAAAATGTTGGCAGGCACCTTGAAAGCAGCAGCATATGCAGCTTGCAAATTGGACATCCCTTCAAATGGCATTCGGTTGGTCAACAGTTCCCATAACACAATTCCAAAGCTGTAAACGTCCACCTTGTTGTTGTAATGCTTCTTCTCTCCCTGCCGCAATGTCACAGTGCTATATAGCTGCAAACACACACACCAATGCAACGGTGCAACAAAACCCAATCAATAATAAAGCAATCCTCACACGACATTAAAAAAGAGGTTAAAGTAGAACACCTCAGGAGCCATCCAGCGGTAAGTCCCTGTTTCTGCAGTCATCATCTCGGTCACAGATTCTTCTCTAGCAAGTCCAAAGTCTGCAAGCTTCACAGACCTTTGGTTTGCAGTAAGCAACAAATTATCTGCATTGCAAGTGGTTTACTAATGTAAGTAATGGGACACATACACGGAAGCAGTATATATACCAATTCATTCTAATTTGTAAGAGTCATGCATAATATTACTGGATACATGTAATTGATAAATTGAATCCCCATTTGAGTTTGGAAACATTGATACTTTACATCCAGATACCTTAAAAAGTACATACCAGGAAGCAGTAGTAACCCGATATATTGAAGTAACGAAACATTAGATATAATCCTAATTCTAAAATTCATGCCACGAAAAAGTACACATTACTCAAAACTCTCTTCAGATTCACCAAAACAATTATCATCACATAGAAAATCAACGAATTGAAGAAGGTGATGGAGCAAGATGGTTGAGAAATCTTCAAATATCATCCAGAGAACCTTCATGCATTTGCAAGTTCTACAACACATGTTGTCTGGCTTACAATAGCAAGTAGAGATGAGTGAGGATTACCAGGTTTGAGATCTCTATGTATAATCCCATTTGCATGTAGACAATCCATAGCACGAGCAATATCCAAAGCAAAGTTAATGGCCAGCCGAGGGTCCAGCTGTTGCTTACGATTATTCATCAGATACTTCCTGAGTGACATTCCTGGTAATAGCTCTGTAACTATCACCATTAGAGGTTCTTTACAAGCTCCAATAAACTGCAAAGCAAATATCTTGCTATATTTGGTAAAATATAAATCATGGAATGTGAATATAGAAAATATTATATTTATACTTTAAAAACATAGGTTTTAAAAATGCAGGCAGACTTCAACTTGATTTCCTCACCTTGACAAGATTTTCATGTTTTACTCGGGACATCATATTTACTTCACGGGCAAAACGATTTTCAAGTGCTGCCCTTTCTTCTACAGTACTCCCTCGATGAAGAACTTTAATGGCCACAATTTGGTTCCGGTACCTGGAAAAAATACAAATGGACTTCAATCACTTAGCAGACTCCACTAGCTTCTCGCAACTATACACTCTCTCTGCGTACAAGTACAAAATGTGATGCAAGGATTTGTAGCAAGAACTAATTAAAAATACGAACAGGCTTAGTTTCGTGACATTCATGATCAAGCTCTGGAACAAATAATTTGTTCAGTAACTGTCGAGAAGAGCACCATTTTTATTGTAGGAAGCACATATCAGTTTGTCAAGAGCCGCTGTGTCATAAGAGTCGGAACTTGCGGTTATAGAAACCTTATCTTTCAAACATTTCCTCAAAACAGCTACTACGTCAGATTCTTAGAGACTCGTCTATGGAGTGTACTTAAATAAAAGCATATCAGATATGGAGGTTAGATACATACGAAATCGACAAACTACGTAGATAAGCAAATTGTTTGTCACTTCATTATTTGTGAACTATCAGGTTCTTCAAGCCAAGGCTGTAAGAAGCAACAATGTTTACAACAAATTTTGAGACAAATGAATCACACAGACCTGCCTTCATAAACCTTCCCATGAGCACCCTCGCCAATCTTGGATCCAATAAATAGTAATTTTGGATCAACGAGAAGATTATCATCGATGGTCAAGTGTTGGTCTGTTATGGATCCAATCTGGATGACTGGTTTCCCTTCTGCCTCAACAGAGTGCCTCAAAACTGGCGCCTCAGTTTCCCTATCATCTCCCCCTCTATTCTCCTCGTTACAATTCATAGTGCACCCTCAAATTATTGTATACTTCCTCATACTGATACGTTGTGGACAAACTTAAACCAAAGCTAACATTACTTCAATCATTCACATTTCTCGATGGCCAATCAGTAGAACATCTTCAAACCACCGACTAAATCTCAACTATTGTATATGAACCCATTCACAGCACCAAAAACTTGAACACCTGTTCTACGATTTTGACAGAAACGAAAAGAACATCAGAGTTTATATAATAATAAGAAGAAGAATAAGCGATCGATTTGGAATAAAACTTATCCCCCTTTGCCAACAAAAAAATGTAGCTCGGCTATCCCGGACGCCCTTTTACGGTTTAAACATCGGGAGAATCGCAAGCTTAAAACTGTGCACATAGCTTTGCTTGATTTCAAAGCGTCCTCCTCGGCGTAACCTAAGCAAACAAACCCTAGAAAAATAAATAAAATAAATAACTTACAGTTGAAGCCAAAATTTGGGAGGAAAGTATAGAGGAGAAAGGAAAGCAATAAGAAAAATGGATGGGGTCGCTATCTAAGTTGGAGTGTGGAGCTTGATTCGTGTTTCCGTAGTTGAATGAGCATCTAAACACATAATAAACAAACAAGGCAAAGCTCTCAGTTTCTCTCACTAGAGATGGAAATGGAAACGGCACACACGCGCGCGCGCACACTCTCTCTCCCTCTCAACCCACTGCGACGAAAGAAGCAGTCCGCTGCGAGATAATTCCAACCCTCTCTTCCGACGACAACTTTGGATAACTTTAGGGGTGAAAATTCAAAACGCAAAGAAAAAAAGAAAAAAGAGGGAGAGAAATTAAAAATGGTTGTCCAATAAAACATGCACACGTGGATGGGCAGAGATACAAGGTTTTGATGTTCTCCTCACAATTTTCTTTATTATTATTATTGCTTTATATATATATAAATACCTTTTCATCTCGTGCCCCTCGTGTTCGCATATACCCTTTTCAAAAACTTTATAAAAAGAAAACATTTTTCTTCTTTCTTATTAGTATTAATTTTGAATTAGCTTGATCGGTAACCAGTGTTTAGGAATCAAACCAAATTTGAAGAATAAATAAAAAGAAAAAAAAAGGAAAAAAGGTAGTGCAATTGGTAGGACCATTTCAAATTTCATACGGGTGCCTTTTTTGATTTATTGATTTAGGGTTTGGACTCTTGTTAAAGGAAATGATGAATGGTATCATAAATATCTCAAATGAAGTGAAAAAGACAAATAATAATAATGAGATACATAAAAATGGAAAACACCCCAAATATGAGATAAAATATGAGATATGTTGTATTTTTTGGGCTTTTTTCTTCGACTCTTCCCTAAAAGTTTTACAAATGCATTTGTTATAGGGAAGTTTCACACTCTTATAAACAATGTTTCGTTATCCTTTTCAACCCGTGTGAGATCTCACAATCCACTCTCCTCCAAGGTCCAATATCCTTGCTCACAATCATTATTCTCTTCAATCGACGTGGGATCTTACAATCCACTCCTTTCGAAGCCGAGTGTCCTCGCTGGCACTCGTCCCTCTCTCAAATCGATGTGAGATCCAACATCAATTGGAGAGGGAAATGAAGCTACACCCTACCGTTCAAATTTTAATTTTCATATGAAATTGAGAAGAACTTATATTTCAAAGTTGAAGGTTTATAAAAATATTAAAGAGAATATTAATGCTTTACTATTTTAAAAAAATGAACAAAGTTGGAGGACTATGTATATATATATATATATTTTTGATAATTAAATAAAAGTGTGAAAATGCATGTAATATTAAAATATATATATATATATATAAAAAGGTAGATATAAAGGGAGAGGATGGTGTGTGAGATAAGTGATAAGTGATAAGGAGAGTGAAGAGAGAATATCCGTCCAATAAGAATGAGGAAGATGACGTGAGCCTGTGGGCGTGGGAATACGCATACCTATCCACTAATAAAATGCCTTGAATCACTTAATATTCATTATTCTTCATGTATGTATCTACCTTTTATTTTTGTCAAATTATTATTATGATTATGTGTAACATCTTATATTAGTGACATTTAGAACCATAGTTTTTTTTTTATAAAATTATATCGGGGGGAGAGAGAGAGAGAGAGAGAGAGAGAGAGAGAGGCGAGGTGTTTGATGACGAGAGGAGGGGTCTTCTTTTTGTTCTTTAAGTGAAAAGAATGATTTTTTGGGTCTGTAAGACAATGAATTACAATGGGTTCATGAATGAATCATGTATGACTAAGTGTTGTTGTTTTAACCAAATCCGCTACACTTGTTCATTCCCCTCCATCAGCCCGCACTCCACGCCCTCCTCTTCCTTACCACTCTCCTCCCCCACTATTGCCGCCATCTCCACCGCCCTCGCGCTCTGCTGGATCCAATCCGTTCGAAGCAGGGTATGCACCAGCATACACAAGCACGATATCTGGGCGGTCATCAGTCCGATCCACAGCCCCAGAAAGCCAGCCTTGAGGGTGAAAGTGGCAACCACTGCAACCGGGAGGCCAATGAAGTAGAAGGCGTACAGATTTATTCTCGCCCCTAACTTGGGTCTTGCGGTTCCTGTTAGAACCCCACACGCCACTGTTTGCGGGGAGTTACTAATTTCACACACACCCAACACGGGCAGTGCGGAGGAGATCATGTGAAGAATCTGCGGCTCATCTGTGTACAATTTCCCCCATACTGATCTCACTGACGTCATGAAAAAGAAGGCCGTCACTCCAAAAGCCAACCCCGTAGAAAGTCCTATCACCGCCGTCCACTGGGCGCGAATGGGCTCCCCTGCCCCCAGGGCTTGCCCTACTCGGGTCGTGATTCCTGCGCTTAACGAGAACGGAACTATGTACAGCATTCCAGTGGTTTGGATGAGGATGCCCATGGCTGCCACTGTGTTCTGGGGGTTACTCAGCAGCCCACAAAGGAACAGCATTATCTCGTACCACCACCACTCCAAGCACACCGACACCGCGCTCGGGACTGCTAAACTCAACAGAGGCTGCCACCCCTGGAACGTGGACAGAATGGTGACGCCATGCCAAGGCTTCAAGGGCTTGCTAGAGAGCACGAGGTAGAGCATGAGGCCCAGGTTGAGGTTGAAGGTGTTCCAGGCGAGGGAGAGGGCGACACCCTCGACGCCCAGGTTCAAATAGGAGACCAGAAAGTAATTGATGGGAGGGTGCAAGAGGGCAGAGCATATGGAAGCTACGGTAATCGGGGTGGTAATGCCTTGGGTTCTCAAGAAGATCCGGAGGGGAAGGTGGTGGGCTTGGGCAAGCAATTCGGGGATGGAGAAGAGCATGTATACCTTGGCGACTTGGGTGATGGCGGGGTCCTGACCTAACCAAAGAAGGATGGGTTCCATATTTAGCCATAACACGGAGATGGGTAGGGACACAAGAAGTAGGAGGCACAGGGTTTTGAGGAAGGTTTGACTCAGAACTGACCATCTCTTAGCCCCAAAAGCTTGGCAGCAAATGGGATCCATCCCCGTGGAGAGGCCCCTCAGAATGGATATTCCGGTTATGTTCCCGAACCCAAGTGCGAGTGAACCCCCAGCCAGTTCTGCCTTCCCAAGATGACCTAAGAACAGCATTGAAACAACCGACCTTGAGTATAGTAGAAAGGACGTTATTATTATGGGGCCTGAAAACCTCGCCAGGGATTTGAACTCCTCTTTCATCTGCACGGATGCCATTCGCACAACCACAAACGTATCATCATCATCATCATCAAACACCCATCCTATTTGGTTTCTATTTGGTTTCTATTTGGTTTGCATAAGCTGAAATGAAGAGAAAGGTACCTGGTGGGGAGGGAGGCCTTGAGGAAGGGCATTGAGGGGGAAAAGGCGGCGAAAGAAGGCTCCGGCGGCCGCTGCGGCTGCTGCTGCTGCTGCTGCTGCTGCTCCTCCTCCTCCTCCTCCTCCTCCTCCTCCTGTAGAAGCACTCATCATCGTAAGTTCATGTTTAGGGGTGGCCTTTGGCATCCTCTGGTAGTGTATATATAGAGAGAGATGGAGATTGATAGAGGTAGAGATATAATGGTGTAAGCATTGATATTATAAGAAAGGAAGGTGGGGGAGATAAATGGGAGGAGAGGAGGGGCTGGGGCTGGAGCTGGGGGCTGGGGCTTGGCCTTGGCCTGGGGCTCGCCCAAGAGGCACACAAAAACTAATGATAAAGTACAGAAAGGTGCAGGACCAGAGGGGGCTTTATGTTGCCCTCCGCTAGCTGTTAATGAGTTTAAAAGTAGAGAGTACACAGAATGTGTGTCTAAGTAATCCAGAAACGAAAAAAGTACGAGTCATCATCATCATCATTTCCCGCTGTGTTGTGTTTTGTGTTTTGGGTTTTGGGTTTTGTGTGTCCGGTTCATAATATTATTAACCTAATAATTAATAATGAATGGACCACCACCCTTTCCAATAATTAATAATAAAACTGGATGTTCTTCCCCTTTCATGGGCCACTTGCATTATTCTATCAACCCTTTCTCTTCGCTTTTCCATCCCGACTTCATTCATTAACTTCTTCTTGATTGTCCAAATGTCTTCTCCGTGCGTGCGATGCCTTTGACGCTACAACAATATATTTATTTATTTATTCTCAATATCCCCCTCTTTCCACGTTGCTCCGACATCATGCTGTTTTCAAAATACATGCATGGGGGGCCCCTTCTCTCTCTTTTCTTTTTTTTTTTTTTTTTTTTTTCTTTCGATTTATATATCTATAGGTTTCTAAATTCCTATAACCTTCCTTCCAATTGGTCCCTCAAACTTCAATTATTTGTGGTTGCAAGAGAAGAATGATGCATGGGTATGTCCATGTCCCCCATTTCCCTCTCATTGCCCCATAATACTCCCTCCAATTATATGCCACTTCCCTACTTATATAATCCCCCATATTAAAACCAAAAACCAATGCTTCATTATTGCCAACATTCTTCCCATTTACTACTCATCTCTATCTCTTTGCAGAGGAGTAAGGACTAAACCAACCCCTCTCTTCAATTATTGCTCATCTTCCCTATGCCCATTCATTCATTGCCTACACAGTAACTGTGTCCGCAAACCCTAACCCATGCAACTGTGATTACAGTTACAAATGGGGAGGATTGATTAGGGGTTTAAACTGATATTAATAATAGGAAAAGGGGAACAAAGAGAGTGTGGAAGGGCGTACGTAGGGCATTGCATGCGCAGGGTGGTGGTGTGAACTATGTGAAGCAAAGTGAATTTGTAAAAAAACAAAATATATATTAAATGGAAATAGAGGATTATATGTATTGGAGAAGAGGGCGGAGGGTGGAACAACTAACCGCCCATTCTCTTCTTGTACGGAAAGATGCTTTCCTGACCAATCTCAATTCTCCCATATGCCACTCACTCGTATTCCTCCACCACCACACTTGATTAATTATATTTATATATATTTACTTTAAATACAACTAACCTCTCTTCTCTTTATGCATTATAATTATAAATTAACATCATCCACCAAACCCATACTTCACACTTCACTTCTTCCCTCTCATTATTGTCTTTCAAATAAATAATATTGCTTATTTATTTATTTATTTATTTATTTATTTAAGAACTGTGTAGTTCTACCAATTGGTTGTTTGGGAACGATAATCGTGCCCACAACTTGAAATATAGTTGTATATAGCCGCCTGCACTGCACTGCACTGCACTGCACTACACTACAACCTCTTATATTATTAACATTATCTTTATCACCTTATTACCACAATTTTCTTCATTTAATCAAATCAATATGCTTTGCTTTGGTTTCTAATTTTGTGTACACAACTAAACTGCCTTTTTTTTTTTTTTTTTTTTAATATTATTATTATTATTATTTTAATATTGGTAGGTATTCCTCGAGTTTAACAACAAAATGTCTTGTTTTTAGCCCTCCAGGGACATATTTCAAATTTGGAGAATTCTCTATTCGGACCATCAAACTCTCTACACATTTTTATATTCATATTGGGGTCTAACACCTTTTCCCCTTGTTTATTTATTTATTTTTATTTTCCCTCTCTCTTCTTTTTTTAATTGGAACCTGTACCTTCAATAAATTATTTCATAAACTTTACCTACGCATGTATACATTTTTTTTTTTTATTGATATACTTGTTTACAAGAATAAACGTTTGAATATATATAATAATATTGGATTTATAAATGAAGAGATGATAATAAAAAGAGAAATACATATATAATAAAGACTAAAGTAACTTTTTTGTGCGAGGATAGAGAAATAGAATAAAATAAGTATGAGATTCAGAGATTAAAAGAGATGCCAGGAATAGAGTAGGGACAGAAAGTACAAGGGTGTAAAGAAATTACCCAGAGTAGAATTACCAAACTAGTCTTAGTCGCATTTAAGAAAGAAAAAAAAAAAAAGAAAAAGATTCTTCCCCGACCTAGAAAATCAAAAACATGGGGGGTCTGTAATAGTAGACTTTTATTTTAGGGTAGACCGTTGTCCTCCAAGTAACATACACCTTACAGACGGAGCTAAATTTTGTCTCCAAAAGAAATGTGCAAGTTGCATAGGCGCTTTTTACCCCCCTCCAACCCCCAATCTGATACTGTTATTATAGCTGAAAAGCTATGGGGTGAGTGAGATAGATAGCGCCAACGCCAACGCCTAGCTTAATATTTATGTAAATAAGTTTCCGTGAATTCCCTCCTCCCACTACAATCTATTCAACTATTGCCACTACTCCTACGCCAGGAATGCTCTGCTTTCAGATACTGTTTCTCTTACAAGCCCTCAAAACCTTTTGGCAAATCAATAAAACCCCCAACACCAAATTTATTCCTAAACCCTAAACTTCTCCTTCCATGATTGCAATGTAAACCCAGCGTATTTTTTTACCTCTCCAATATTTCATCCAAATATAAATATTCCCTCCCTCTAAAACCTTTCTCCGCTTCTAACTTCTCTTTAAACTCTTCTTTTATCTCTACAACATATTCCTTCCTTCATTTTTTCCCTTATCTAATGACATTCACCAACTCAAACTTCTCTCTCTAAATTTGCTTTCTTTCCTCTCTTGAATTTTTAACTCCCCAATAAGATATCCTATTTTTTACAAATATTTTCAAAACTAAATTAAGTTTTCCTTTTAGAAATTTGATTAAGAATTCAAATGTTTACTTTTAAAAAACCAAACATAAAACAACTTTGTATCTAGAAAATGAAAACCCAAGCCTCCAATAACAATTTTGTCTTTATTTTTTAAATCAACACATTTTTTCCATTTCCCATATTATGATTTTTACAAACATTTGAATTTTGAATTAAATTTCAAAAACAAAAACAAATCTTTAAAAGATAATTTTGTAGTTTTTAAAACATTGATAAAAAAATGGTTAACAAAAGAAAAGAAAGAACTTGAGGTGCAAGCAATGTTTATAAGCTTAATTATAAAAAATTAAAAACTAAATAGTTATCAAATAAACCTAAAATATTGGTTGAAGAAAAAGAAAAACACAGATGAAGAAAACATTACCAAACATATTATTCTATAGTTTTCAAAAGAAAAAAAAAAAAAAAACAAACAAAAGTTAGTAATGAAATATTTTTGGTTTTGTTTCCGAAAAATAGAAACAAAAGGAAGAAGTGTTGTCGAACAAAGTCTTTAAGGCATTTGTTTTCAAAATCCCGCTATCCTTTACCGACAGTGAATTCCCTCTCACGTAATTCTCTCTCTAGGTTATGTTTCCATCTAGATTACCTTTCTTTCTCTAGCATCTATGACTTGTCTATTTATTTATTTATTTTCTTTCAACACACGCGCGCGTATATCTAACACCTCCAGAGCCTTTCTTTCCGTCTCTCGTACCTTGTCCTCAAAATTTGAGTTTTTTTGTTCTTTCCTTTTTGCTCCTTTTCAGTCTTTCCATCTACTACTACTTTATAAATATAAACATTAATTATGCTTAAAAAAATACATTTTAAGAATCATATTCTATTTTTATAATACAAAATAAAGTTACAGTTTGACAGCTCTTGTTATTTTGTATGGTTGATGTATGTGAATTATTAAGATGCATAGGATGTAGTCATCAGAAGGAATCCCTAACTACGAAGGAAATAGCACAGCAGTAGAAGTAATAAATGCTTTTACCTGGTCCGAACAAAACATATAATCCGGAAGTCACATCAATCTCTGATTGCTCCTCCCTAGAACACGCCAAGAACATAGGTTTATCAGAAAGTTGCGGAAAAGCTTAGTCTCAATCACGTGCATTTTGTATTATGAATCTATGTTGTTATTGAGAAAGCGTCCAGGGACAATATGATTTGCCACATTTGAACACGTAACCCTACCAATTATTCACTTACATGTTTCTTCTGTACATTCCACCTTTTCTCTGACTGTTTAGTTATACTTTCACGATCAATGTACCAGACACATCAACTCGTAGGATGTCAGTGTTTTCTTCTTCTTCTTCTTCTTCTTCTTCTTCTTCTTCTTCTTCTTCTTCTTCTTCTTCTTCTTCTTCTTCTTCTTCTTCTTCTTCTTCTTCTTCTTCTTCTTCTTCCTAGTACATTTAGCAAAGCAGTTAGATTTAAAACTCTGATTTCAAAAGAATTAAATAAATGTAGATTAACATTTGAATTATGTTCAATCTTGCAGAAACTATGTCATTATCATTGATATTATGCTTTAAGTAATGATATACTAAGGATCTGATTTACCGCGTTTGGATTTTGGAATATGCGAAGTATTGGCTTAACTACCAATGGTAAATGGAAGAATCCATGTCATGCAAATAAGAATTGTAAAATAAGCTTCCGATCCGTATGATAAAAATCACCGACTTACCATGTATAACGGGCAATGATACGCTTTGGCCAATGATTGTGATCCCAAAATTGTTTGCTAATATGTGAATACCTATTGAGAATAAAGTAAATCAGAAGGCCAAGAAAAAACTTCACTCCAAGGAGTAACACAGATAACAAACTCTCAACAGGTTCTCAAAAATGCACAGAAAGCCACTCATAATATCAGTCCTCCTATCAGGTATTAGACTAACATTCGATACTGAATGTGTTATCTGAACTTTAAATTGTACTGCAAGAATCATTATGGCGTCAATCAATAGATAGAAGTAATGACAACAACTGTTTGAAATGCATTGGAAACAACTTCAAGCATAAAGCTAGAGGATATATCCACCCATTATATGAGAATAGAGCAAGGTGGATATTAATAATGACAGAAAACAGCTGTTAGAAATTTACTGGAAATGATTCCTTGTGTAACATATTGGATTTCCATATTTATATACCGGAGAACTCTGATAGGACCCCATATATTCATCATGTATATCAGAGGAAGAGAGATGGGAACTGCCCAGTGGATAGTCGTCGTGCAGGTAAATCGTATGAGGCTATCGTTTGTGACTTAGTGGTGTAACTAATTGAAGGGCGAGAAAGCTGAGCTAAGAGTAGTATTCAGTAAGGGTAAATCATAGGTAAAAAAGTACCTTTTGGGTTAATGTTGTGGTGTCTGGGATAAAGGGAGAGCCCTCAAATCATTCTCAAGCTAGGTACCTATTTATTGTTGACAAATTAAATAATAGTAGATCTATCAATTCTAGTACACAGCAATACAGTTATGGGGAATGACTACGAACCGAAAGAACCAAATCCAATGCTATTGAAGAGAAGGCCATTGGAGTGGAAAACATGGTGGAGAAAAGAACTTGTTTAGGAAATTGGAAGGTATGTGATGCGGGAGAAATGACCTTGCCAGGAGAGAGAAGGCAAAAGAGGATTGAGGGAATGTGTTGATAGGGGTGCTGCCTTCTAAAATTACCAAGGACGGTTGGGCAAGTACTAGAGGGTCAGAGAGAAAATGAAATTGTGCTTGTGTTTGATATGCAATTAAGTTGGAGGTACCCTACTTTTCAAGGGAGAAAAGATGAAGGTAGTTGTGCTCTGTTTAGATGGAGAAACATTTTCAAGGCATCAATGATCTGAAGAAGGCCGAATAGGAATTTTAGAGTAATTTAAGCAATGGTTGCTAAAGCTATTTCAGCCTACTAAAGAAGGTACATAAGTGAAAATTTTCTCTAAATAAAAAAACTAGGGATGTGTTCACGGACTAGATTGGAATGGGGGATGTTAAGAGAAAATTTATTTGCCCTATTTATCTGTAGTGCATACCATCAATCAAATTGTTTCTTATAAAAAAAAAAAAAAAAAAAAAAAAAAAAAAAAAAAAA